GACAGGGCATGTGAAGGTGGCGTGGTTTGGAGCGCCGCCAGGGCAGATTTGCCACCAACTGTAGTTGGCTCTAGATGACATCTGAAAAAAATAGCCTTGGTGCGCTCCGATCCGCGCCGTGTCACACTCCCTATCGTTTGCAGTGATCATGATTGCAGCTGAAAGATATAACCAAGACGTTTGCTGTGCAAGCAGATAGGATCGAGTAGTTCAGAAAGTTTCACAACCATATTATGTTTTGATGCTTGTTCTTCAGTACTGACTGGCTCCTGTCATGACCCATTCCCAGCGATGGGATTTTCCTAACAATGTTGTACACTGTTCCTGAAGCGCTTCCCTCCAGAGGAAATTTCGGACTCATTTTCTCACAATATGACAGTTATGCTAAAACATTAATGGTTAAACAGCGAAACTGCAGCGAAGCGAACAGCATAGTGTTTCTATCACATAAGGTCAATTTAGGACCTAAACCTCTGTGAAATTCTCACCAGCTTGACATGGAAATCCACGGTGAAAACTCAATTCGATCAACCTCTCGTAACAAGACCAAGAAACGTAAGGGTATTAATCTGCATAGTTCAATTGCAAATTGCAATCCCTTTACCGACAGCTCAAATCTTGCAGGTGCGGGCAGCTAATTGAGCAGATTCTCAGTATACACAGCATTTTTCCAATAAATACAGAAAGTCCATTTAATATAATACAAGATGTGAGGCTGCTCACCTTCAACATCTACTACACATTTTCCTCCTTCTCTCTTATATCCATGGACACATGAGCACTTGTATGCACCAGGTGTATTGATGCATTCCTCGTGCGGCTTAGGACATCTGTTTTCAGTTTCGCACTCATTTAATGTCTGAATAAAAACAGCAGCAATACTGCAGCTGAATCTGACAAAATAACACGTACTAATGAGAAGTTTCCATACCTACACATCCTTCCTCAGGAGAGTTAAACCAACCGCCTTTGCATCGTACACAATCCTTTGGACCAGGCCCTGTGCATCCGCCAGAGCACGCTTCGAAACATTCTGCAGAACTATAAGTTCCGTGTGAGCAATGAATTTCTTTTAAACCATTCAAAAAGTGACTATTGAATATTGAGTGAGTGAATATACCGACTGAAGTAAAGTGTATCCCGAAAGCATAGTGGTATTCTTCAAAATGAGTGTTTCTTTTGATTAGTGGAGTGTTGTGTTAAGAAGAATGAATCTGATAAAGCTCGTTACTTCTGCGCACCCTCTTTTGGAATAGTGTTGAAAAGAAGGGTGAGCGGTAGGGTTGTTCAGGGTTTTGTGTGTGATAAACTTCGCGAGATAAACTTTCCTCTGTGCGTATGTCTATCAACTTGGCCCTCAGAAACTCCTGCAGGAAAGGTCAGAGGTCACCTGGCCATTTGCATGAGATGGCACATGTCCATCGTCTTGATACGGTGAAATAAAAACTTTTCTTAAAAAATTTGCGGGAACGATTTGCTGAGGGGGAGAATTAGGGAGGTTTTTTGCGGTACTTGTTTGCTTACTTTTGTTTTTCATCTACGGGTCGCGCTGGCGCCGGAGCGTTGGCACATGTAGCGCGACTCACAGCGCTCTTCGCGCAAAACAGGTATCATTTTCGTGTTCAGGAGGGTCAACTAACCCCTACGGACGTCACCTTAGCAAAATCTGAGCTTCTGACTCAACTTCGAAAAAATGGGGTATGGATAGTCATGGCTGACTGATAGCTAACAGCGATACTATGACTAGCATACTGGTGATGACTGGTCTTCGAACTGAAATAACTCTTCAGTCATGTCTTTTCGCAAACAACAGTACCTGGCTTACTTATTTGTGCCGTCTGCATCATTTTCTTGACTATCGGGAGGAAATCCCATTCCGAGACCAGTCATCGATGGTAGGTGAGCTCCAATCTGCTGCTAATTGCCCATGGAGTAGCCCACATTTTCCAAGTGAGGTCGAAATATCAGATTCGGCTAGAAACTTGTCCCCGGGGGTAATTTAACCCGCTGAACATGAATATGATGGTATTTCATTGCAAAAACCCTTGCGAGACGCATTAGCGAGGGGTACAAGCAGAAGCCCTCTCTCAGGCCATCATGGGCCTGCACTTTCAAGAAAAAAAACTGATCGCAGGTTCCCTTATAGGACAGTGCAGGCGAGCAGAGATGTTAGAAGCTTTGTCGGTATGGTTTTGGAGCGAGTCTACGAATCCCGCCAAAAAACGGCCGCTCCTACCGTGTGCATACTACACGTTTCACGTCCATGCTCCGATACATGAATGTAAAGGACGCTTTCCACGTTTCCCTCGCGATAGCATGTGAAACGACCACGCGGGGATAAGACCCTCCATAACTCCGTTCAGAGAATCGTTCCGCAAATTCTGAAGGTAGATTTGAGTTCAGTGTCCCAACACGCGTACAGCGGTGTGCAGCTCATTGGAAATGGCCAGGCTGACCTGCTGACCTTTCCTGGTCAGAAGCAATGGATCCAACAGTGAGATTAAAATTCTCCCCAAAGACGAAAAAGTGAAAATACTCTAAAAATTACTTTCACATTCCACGGTATTGTTCGTCTTAGTTTTCTCGAAGAAGTTGGCACCGCACTGTCTGCACATGTTGCCATGGTAACCATTATCGCATATACATTTTCCAGTTCCACTCCTAGTTCCGTCACCCTGGAAAAAAGAAGGTAACTCTCTCAAATCCTGACCCACTCCCCAATATCCATCGAGCGAGGATTACATACCACCGTCAGAAGGTCTTACAGACAACTCGAACCCAGTCCCTTCAATAGCATCAACTCTCTGCTCTTTTCTTGTCTCGCCCTTATCAGGCTCCCCTCCGTTTGAGAAACTTGGTACCTAGATCGCCACACGTTCTCACCATTTGATACTTTGGCAGCCACTGAACTTTCTCTACATGAACCCGCGCTATGAAGCGCGTCTGAAACACTATTAACGAGAAAATTTCCTCCAGCCTCAGTGCTACCTTCTCCCCCCTCCCTCCCTCCCCCCACCGAGGACCAATATACCCCCCTTGTCGTAAATTCCTAGGACTATGATGCGCCCTATCTAACAGCAAGCCTGAACGACTTGCAGCTTCCAGTATCATCATAACGGAGAAAGCACTAATTTTGCTCTCCTCACACTTTTCTGAGCAAGCTTTGCAAATGACGGTGACGAGAAAAAGTACACAAAACTATATATGTCATTTTCTCCACTTCTAGTAACTAGTCGATGCCGTACCGTCACCTACCACCACTAGCGGAGTTTTCACTTATGGAGCAAATCAACATGAAACCAGCACGAACAATGCCATCAGAAGTATCTGTTCCAAAACCGTCATGGTCATAGCCGCATGCGGTCCCAACACACGGCTCTGGGACATTTGCCAAAGGCGACTGATCCAGCTCATACCGCCTCTGACGAGACATTTGAGCCACTGCCTCACTCGCAGTTTTTTTACGCTGCCCCTCCAACAAGACGAAGACCGTCTGGAGATAGACGGCAATCGACTGCAAGACATATGGAGGAGGATCATGAGAACTGCACGTCAGAGCGTTGTACAACAGGACCTGGATGAAAAGGTGCAGACAGCTCAACAAGCGAATCGTGCTCAAGCGTCGGGAGGTAGGGCGCATAAGAAACCTCGCAGCGGTGGCGGAAGAGATCCCAGGCATAGCGCCAGTGGAAGTGCTGTCAAACGTCACACAGGCGGAAGTGGTGCCAGACGTAGTAAAGTCGGAAATGTTAGCAAACCCAGCACCCAACCCAGCAAATCAGTACTTCATTACGCATAGTTCCTTAGTAGCGCACACCGTCAGCTGCAGCAAAGTAAGACGTGTTCAAGTCACCAGTGATGCAATTGTTGGTGCAAGAAGCTCGAAGTGCACTGCTTACCGTAATCCTAAACTTCGTACGCAGAGTTTTCGAAAGTTTCTTTCTGTTGCGAGTTTTGCTTCAGTGTTTTTGTTGTTTTTCATTTTCTTTTCTTTGCATGGCATTCATTACACGAAGTTGCGAGAGAGCGATTTGAGGCCAGCTGTTGCACAGTGACCGCAGGCCGTCAGCCGAGCCAGCAAGTTTGGAGAACTCGAACAATAAGGCTGTGTGACTGCAACGGACGACTTTGTTTATGGCGTTCTTGGAGTTCTTTTTTGCTTTTTCTCATCTTTGAAGAATCACTTATCAGTTACTGGTTCATAATTAAGCCACTATCCATGATACTTAATCGCGGGAACTGTCTTCAAGAAATATCAGTAAGATTACAGTAAGAGAATAAGCATCACAGAACAAGTTGAGGGGACATTAAGTTGGTTCCAGCGCTGGAAGAAATACTTAAAGACAATTCCCGCGATCAAGTGTACGGGTAGTTGGTGCTCAGTCATGAACCAGTGGCCCATAAGTAGCTCCTCAGTAGAAAAAGAAGCAAAAAAACCTTGGGAACATCCCTAAACATCCCCTCAGCAGTGCGGTGGCGTCTTGGACAAGTATGTCGGTAGTGAAGGACGCGCTCTCTAGTGATTGGAGCGCAAAGCTTGAGCTGTGGGACCGTGGCGTGAGCGCCGGGAAGTCCTGGCCAAGCGATGCGATATTCGTTTTTGGAGGTTAAAGGTCTGGAAAACAAATTTTAGCCCGTCTTTCTGACACAAGCGCTCCGCGATAGTAAACTGGTCTGATGTCGGAAGATTGGGGTAGTAACAATTGAATAGTGCCCCCATCTAAAAGATCATTAGGTGAGTCTGAGAAACACACTAACTGCTCTTCATTTCACATCCTCCTCGTTGAAATCGCGCTTGCGAAGAGTATGGAAGACGAACTACCTGCTCTTCAGTTCACGTCCTTCCCATCGCTTGCAGAGTATGAAACTCAAGAAAGGCTTGCTGCTCTTTTGTTCACATCCTCCTAATTGGAATCGCGCTTGCAAAGACTATGGAACCCTAAAACAGCCTAAGTCGTCTTCAGTTTATGTCCAACGTTTAATCGCTATGGAAAACGCCGATCACCGAAGATGGCGCTGATGGGCGTCTCGTGCGACGTCGCGTCCGCAAGTGACGATAGTTCAGGTCGTAGATGGCGACAACAGGCAATGTAGGCAGTCGGACAGTGTAGTCATAAATGTCTTTACTTTCGTAGCCCACGTGATTTTCGGTGCTCTAATTGACAGGCTGACATTAGTTGAGAAAACACTGCTCCCATCGCCGTGCACAGCAGAGCGGCAAACACGATTATCTTGCCCGTCTCCCGAAGATGGCAGTGCCAGAAGCGCCGCGCGCGACACGTGCCGCGCGGGTGTTGTAGGAATAGAAGCTTGTGAGCCGTTGTCTCGTACAGCTACAGTATGATGTCGCACGCGTTGCCACGCTCCTGTGACCTGATTTCTTTATCTTGCCGGTTTAGACGCAAGGGTACGTTCTCTGTGAACGCGTATAAGGCTGCGTTTATACTTTGCGGCAGCGTAGCGTAGCGCTTCCAGCGTACGCCAGCGGCAGTGTCGGGGAAAGGATAGATATCGATCTAGCGTTCCCAGCGTCACCAGCGTACGCTAGCGTAGCGAGGGCACGGGAAGCATAGCTATCGATCTAGCTTCACCAGCGTTTCTCCAGCGTTTTCCCAGCGCTTGCAGCGACGGGGCTAGAGAGGGGCTAGAGAGTATTGAAGGGAGGAGAGTATTTTGTACTCTCCTACTTTCAATACTCTCTAGCCCGACGCCTGCAAGCGCTACGGGCTAGGAGAGTATTGAAGTAGGAGAGTACAAAATACTCTCCTCCGCTTCCAATTGTGTAGTGAGGCCCGATGATCACAGTGAGCTGCGGTGAACAGCAGTACCACAATTATTTATTAGGAAAAATATAGAACAGAAGATTGAAGAGATGAACAGTTAGAGAATAATCGTAGTTGAGCCCTGGAGAGGAGTTGACGGAGTCGATCGACGAAGTC